ATTCAAGATACGATATTCTTGTATAAAATTAACGTGAACAATCAATCAGTCAATCAGTCAATATATATGTATATATAATTTTTTCAACTAGGGTCGTCGTGTTTTGGGGTTAATAAATTTTTGCTTGTACCAGTCTTACATGTTATCACTTCGCGTCTATAGCATTGCAGTGGTTCCTCGATTTTCAAGTATAGATAATAAGCGACTTCGATGTAACCTTTACTGTAATATGACAAGACATTCTCAAGTCACGTTTTTCTTGGTGATTATATATTATTACACTACGTACATCAACAGACCTAGTTTTAGCTTTTCATACATGGTAAATTAAAAGTTCTATTCGCTTGGCAACAAAAAAATACTTTATTCGCTATTGTAGAGAGTTAGGCTACCATAAGTATGGAATAAATAAATTGACAAACTCTTATTAAATTCCGATTTCGGCATGAACAAATAAATGAAAAGTTGATTAGGTCTCAAAATTCAAGTAGGGAACATACTTTGTGATAATCAAACTCACAAATGCTTCATTTCATCTGATTTAATAACCACGTATTTACAGGTAAAATTTACTTCCGTATATTCGAAACAAATTCGTCTATACCGACTAAAAACTTCATACACTTTTATTTATTTATTTATTTATTTAAACACATACATATTGGTACAAAAGGGCACCAGATACATATGCGCCATACAAAATAATGAAAGTAGGAAGAGAAGGGATGAAAAGATAAGGAGGACTGAAATGTACAACCAGAAAACTCTTTCAGCTAAGAAAGTTAGGACCACTCTTTATGAAGAAAGTAAAAGAAGGTTATAGCAGGCTCGCCACTGACTTCTATTCTGAGCCATATCTGATAACGTCTCTAGCCACTGTGTTGCACCATCTCTCGGACCCCAGCCAGGGAGTCGTGAAGGACCAACAGAAGCTAGCCCTTTGCAGCTTCCTTTCATGCCACGACACCATGTCATACACTGACCACCTCACCGCTTTTTCCAACCAGTCCCAGAGTTGGCAAATAATGCACGACGTGGAAGTCTCTGGGACGACATTCGTAGAACATGTCCAAGCCACCGAAGTCGGTGTTTCAAGATGGTGACACCAATTGAATTATCGTCTCTGCGCCCGAACACACGATGCCGGACCTCTGCATTACTAACATGGTGTTGCCACTGGATGTCAGCAATCCTTCGGAGACAACGATGGTCGAACACAGAGAGTCGTCTAACTCATACACTTATACTAAACTATTGCATATTATCATGCATAATGTAAATTAATTTTCACTGTGATTATTGTCTAGTTAAAATAAATATCAGATTTCCATTTACTTGTAGTTGGCATTCATGATAATATGTTGTGGAAACTTTCCAAAACAGATGAAGAATAACATGAATTCAATCTTTGTTTTATTATTCAATTCGCTGTCTTTGCAATATCTTTATAAACATGATTTTGAATCTCATTCCGTCATTTTTATATCAAACTTAAAATTGAAGCAAATTTTTTAAAAATATATTTAAATTTATCATTGAATGAAGTTTATAAAGGATCTCATTTTGTAGTACTCGTTCGAGCGTAGTAGTACTCGTTCAGTACTATACTTTGTTTAAAATAATAATTTCCCACAAAAATTGGAATATATTAATGTCACAGTTATCATTCAATTTAAATAATCAGCCATTAAGAATTTTAAGTATATTATAATGTAGGATATGATAAATATTCTATCAGAATTATATACAGTTTTAGGTCATTTTTGGGTCTTTGCAAATAGTTCCATCGTGCGATTTCCAGACTTTTCAATTATTTGGCGGTAGTACAATAACTTTATTAGCTAATGAGTTAAAATTGCAATGAATATTTCTGATCAGTATTTTAATTTTAATTAAGAAGAACAGAGTTTAAGGGATAAAAAAATGTTGGATTAATTATTTTATTAATGATCTTGAATTAGAGTTATGTCGCTTACACGTTGAATGTAGAGATTTATAGAGCCAAATATAAAAGAAGACACTACTATTGTTTTGGATTTGTTCTACTTACCATATATGTAAGATCTAGATGACTCTATTAGTAACATTCTATTCATTTTAAATATTTTAACATAACCAAATCATTCTATTTATCATCTCATTTTAAGTTTTGTCTCTTAAAAAATGATACCTTCCGTCAAGTAATACTTTGCTTATTTGGAAACCCAAAAATTGATTGTTGTGATTCCTCAGCATCGTTTGTGTTACTGCATTACTGTGCATGACTCAAGATTTTGGTAGACGGTTAAAAAAAGAAATGATATTTAGGTCATTTTGGGGTTGTGCAGATTGATAAATTTCAATGAAACTATGAACCAATCTGAGTTAAACCAATATTGAAAAGCTGGATGCAATGGGCGACTATATCGTTCTAGCACAAGGCTCCTCAGCAGTGCGCATCCACGATCCCACATATGAGAATCGAATTCAAGACATACAGTATCACGCGCCAACGCTCTACATCTAGACTACTGAGCTAATGTCTAGCTCGTATCAATACACGATATTGGGCGACCATATTCCGTTGTCTTAGGTGGGTAACTATCTGCCTCGTACTCAACAAGTATTAACTCCGCGGAAAAGAAGCCGTGACAAATGCAGTTATTCCATTCTATGTCTTACAACTATGGGAAAATCAGCGGAAATAATTCTCTGTTTAAGTTGTCCTTAGAGCATCCATTGGGTTGAATAAGCTACATTTCTCAATTGAAAAAATCGCACAGTTTTCGTAAGCTAATTATTAGTCATATTCCTAAATCACCACACAAGCATAACGACCATTGTAAATTGAGATACAATTCACATTCGACGAAACGCTTTAAGTTATTTCATAGACATGTATCATCAGTAAGAAACGTACAGGTGTTCACTTTGTTGAATGTGACTATTTGGTTTGTAATCAAGATAATACTCATAGAGAAAACTAACGTCATTCGAAAAATTAAATCACACAACGTCTGTCAGTTTAACTCTCGGAGCTTAACTTGTTCTCGTTTAAGCTTTTTCTGTCTAAAACTCAACTCATCAATTAAAACCTAATTGGAAGTATTTTCAATAGTGTTCACATTAAACGATTGTTGGATTCCCTATCACTTAACACATTGTTTGTTTTCATATGACAAATCACTCATTATCCTAACAAGTGATTTGTAACAGCGTACTTCAAGGTAATAGTAATTCCATAGAGAATCATCGAGGGTTGTCTCTGCTCTTTCACGAAGAGTAACAAGCGTCAGTAAGTATGAATAAAACAATCTACATAATTATAAATAAATTATATATTTGTAATATCCCAATGAGTAGAAAATCTAATTTTTCTACTCATTGGGATATTACAAATATATAATTTATTTATAACAATCTACCCAATGCTCAATTTATTCAAAATTATCAAATCAAGTCTTGGTAATGACACCTACAAAAATCTACATAATTATTTGTATTGATTAAACTGAGCTAAGTTGGGTGATAAATACAAATTTGGCTAACATTCAAAGGTGGGTGGATCATTTTCATCGACATAATAATCAGGTCACTTCTTACACATAAACCTACACTTGACACTCAAAAATTTCACATAGAATCCATTACATTTCATTCAACTTAAAACTCAGTCACTTTCAGTGCAAGCCAATTATGCTGAATACACTGGATTCTCACTTAATTTTATACCAACCTTTGTGTTTTTTTAAATTCAACTTGACATGTTCGTTTTCTTGTCAATATGCAAACATACTGACAAGCGATCACGTACTCTTGTTCAATATCAAGAAAAGGAAAGATAGTAAAAACAGTTAGTAGGGGTTTGTGCAATTGTTGAAATTTATGGTTATCAACCGTTTTTGTGGACCTATACTTCTTACAGGCTTTGTTTTAAAAGAATTCAGATCGAAGGGAATACTTCGATGCAAATCAACAACATCACAACTGGACGATAGTTCATCCAAATCAGATATAAAAGAGGATGAATTCGTGTGATCCTTCCATGTCCATTTTCTGTACTGTAGGAAATGCAAAAGTTTGGTCCACTCGAAATGGCAGAGATGAGAATTCGGCCACTTGCTTACTAATTGTCAAATTGATGACTTCAGGATAATACATGCACTGACAATATCCTGACGAAACAAACTACATTGGAAGATAGCATTTATGCAAACTCCAAGTATTTCAAAATCTTATAAAAAGCTTATGCATCAGCAATCATGCATTCAAATATGACAACTGTATGTTGAGACATGTTATCGGAAACTAATTACACTTTCCACTCACTTCTCTTACGTCGCTTGTTTATCATTGGTGTTACATATCTCATCTTGTCTCTATCGTTTAATGATTCATTATCTATCTTTAAAATACAAATATTTCATAAACCTCTCCTTTATTTATTACAACTTCACAAAATGGATGAACAAAAACAGTGTAAGCTTGCAATAGATCAAGTGTTTTCACATCGAATAATGAGCAAACATTCGCTGTGCTGCATTCCCACAAGTGCGAATGATTTAATTGAGATGTAGTTGTATTTGATTATTGTCATGTTCTGATCTCCACCTACGACGTCTGATTCTAATGAGATGTTTAGCATGAATTCGGCATTCCTTACCTAAATCGTGTAAAAATATGTTTGGAAAAGTGAGTTAATGGCAGTGGGAGGAGATTTAGGGCTTCTACCTAATGACATTTTCAAACTTTAAACAGAAAGTCATTATCGCTCAATGTTTCGAAAATAAACGCGTGCTATTTATGATCTTCAAAAATTTAAATCATTCAGTGCCTGATAAGTAGCATAATCATACAGATTATTGTGGAGGTGTTTTAGCTGTCAAATCTTTATGATCCACTGGTGCTATAAAGACACTTCATTGGTCTGGAGGTCACGGTGTTTGACTTCATACATTACTTCATCTTTCTTCACAAGTACGTCTAGAAAATACTCGAAAATAATAATATTCAGACAAAAGTCACACCATAAAATTCACATGAATATTAACGAATGAATGTGGTGATTTACATGGAGTTCGAAAGTCGATAACAATTGGCCAATCAGGTTTACCATCAGAATATTGAGCAACAATCACTCTGTACTTTTTTTTCAATTGAACAGGTATTGTTATGGAACGTTTGGAAGATTTTGGTTGAATTTCTGTTTGCAGTGGTTGATCGACTAAACCATGAAATATTATGACACTATGTGCTGTCTTATCAGTTATTTTGACAGTTTTCCATTTAATCATAACATGTTGTGATCCTTTCTTCCTGAATTTTATATCGTAAAATATCTGTTTGGCTTTGAGTAAAACGTTAAACGAGTTGATTTAGATACGAATGCAAATAAAATTATGATCACGTGAAGTACAATTAGCGTCATACGAAAAATGAAGAGACGTTGCATGAAAAATATCACAACAATTTCAAATAAGCATCTTGTAGGATAACTAACATGTTGTCTAGTGAATTTGGAAATTACTAGCTTATTTCCAAAAATGTGTCGTTCGTTCCTCATTGCAACGTTTCTTATCTCAAGATTAGTGGGTCCGTCGTAGAAGTAGTAGTGTATGCGTAATTGATAAAGGTTACAATTTTCTCTCTTATTGACAAGATTGCACTAGATATCTGTTTCATCTGATATTAGTAAATGTGTCTACGTAATATTGCAGACCTGAATGTGACAGGCATAAGTTAACACAATCTACGGATACTTTTGTGATTGCCCAAGTTTTCAACAGAATTATTTTTCTTTGTAAAAACAAACAACCGAAGTTTGCTTCTAGCTTTTCTTCCTGAAACCTAATGGACAAACAATTCAAATATTGTCCAACTCAGTATTTTGGTAACATGATCTTAATGAGTTGATAAACCTGTATGAAAAAACTAGACTGACTCTTATTATGCGTATATATATATTGTAACGGTAAATGATCGATATGGACCTCACTATTCTTACTGGACACTCCCTGGCTGAAGGCGTTCGGTCACGTATCCACATCAGATCCCGATCATGTACGCTGTGCTACACATCCTTTACCACTCCTGTCCAGCTTAAACCAAGCTCACTTTAACATGCCGGCAACTTTTGAAATATATCTTCGAACTCATTCATTTCTAACTTCTGATTCAATTGGGTTGGTATCTTTCGAGTATAATGTTATTTCTGACGAATACATTATGGAACCCTGATTATCTTCAAAATCTTCGACTTAAACTTGGTTTTTACTTTTTTTGAACTGTGGCTTAATTATTGGGGTTGTAGATCACCAACAATCACTAACGTAGATGATAAGTGTCAAGTGATTGGGGACCTACTCTACTTAGACGCGAATGATGTGAACGACCAGCTAATTTCGATGTTACACCTCGTGATCTTTACACAACATGAATTATCCTTTCGTCTTATCAAGGTACTATGGCTGATTTGAAGCTTTTATATTGCGAAGGACTTTATTACAGAGATATATTGGTAAGAGTAGGTACAAGGAAGAGACCGCGAGCACCACCGCATAGGCCAGTCTATGGTGTGTGATTAATTGATGTGCGTTGGTTGTTTTGAACGTGACGAGGATCGGTGAACTGCTCGACATTAAGTGACCCGATTGTCGGATGATTTGGCTACTGGCCTTACAGGATCAATGCTGTTTCATAGTTATTTCGTTACTTTGTGTTTTTTTACTGATTGTAACACGCAGCATTTACCGATTTCCTCGTCCCCAAAGGCAAGATTTATTTCCACGTTCGAATAGTTGAAATTCAATTTAGTGAACTTTTATTCATTCTCGATCAAAGTTTGTCCACTCCAAACACGTACTTCATAGTCCAATTTCATATGTTAGCTTTATTTTTATCTGATAACTGGCATACTCACAGCTACTTTATAATGTAAAGTTATGTATCAGTTTGAGCTCACTTTCTAGTGTAAACGTTTCAGGCATCAGCGTTGTTCCTTTACACAGAACCGCGGCGGGAAAAAATCACAGGCTTGTAGTAGACGTCGAGCCGAGGTTGACTATGATCACCACTACATAAAACCTACGTGCCAGTTGGCGGGTCATGCCCCTCCGAAGGTCAGATATCAGAAGTCGGTTAAAGGTTGTAGTAAAATGTATTTATTGGCCATATCATGGTATCGAAAAAAACCGAGATCTTGCCGAAATCCAAAAGTGAGATTACTAAGCGTACGAGAGTTCGTGCACAGTCACAAAAAACGAGAGTGTGATTTTTGGTACACTTAAACAAACAGTTACAGTAGAACAATCACTGGTATAATCGGCCCACTCCATACTCTATAAAATTTAAAACCAAAAAAGAGAGCTCAAATAGCTTCGAAAAAAAGGGAGAGCCATTTGTATCGGAAAACTGTTTTCAGAACTTTATTTTATAATTACACATAATTCCATACTTCCTTCTGAACTATCTTTATTCATACAGTTCCTTTTCCACTCATACCTTTTTCACACTTATTTTTCTTTAACACATTAGTATGCTCTTACCTAATAAGTACTTCAGTAACAGACGGCGCCGTCTGAAAGAGGTGCGCACCTCTTTCAGCCCCCTGGAGATACCCCACCGAAAACAGATATGGCACTGGTGAGTTCGTCCTACACCGTTATTAAAGCTTCAGATATTCCGGAGGGATATAAGGTTGAAGCTTCTAAAAGCCCCCAACTTTGCATGTGTCTATTCTCGACCATCGGCTGTTTGTTGCAACGCTACCTTCATAAAGTGCGCGAAGTGTGATATTGACATGTTTCGTACGAAATCCTTTTATATTCAAATCTTATAAAATATCAACCTAGTTGAGTAATTTTCTACAATGAAAGTTGTAACTTCTGTAACAATTTGATCTTGCCTGTAAACCGGCATGCCTCATGTAACAAACTGTTATTTGAGAATAAATTATTATTATTATTATTAATTTTTTCCATTATACCAATCGCATTCTTGCCATAAAAGCAGGTCACTACGGGAGCCCTCCACTAGAAAGGGTTTGCACTTTTGATACGTAGCTGTTTCGCTAGTGGGACTGACTGGCAAACGTGCTATTGTAGAACGAAAGGGGTGGTAGAACAGGAAGTGACCGTTGATTCTCGAGTTGTCACCGAAAGCTTTTTATGTAGGACGACAGCAGGAGTAACATGTTATATTTGTTGCTTGAGTTAGCGTGCCACACCATTGTGTTTTGTATCTATATTCTGAAGACTGCGTTCGTAGGGGTCCGGACTAGATTACGCTGCAGAAGTAGGACGGAAACACATTGAGCCAAGAAACCAGAAGCGACCATAACAATCAGCTTTGAGACCATTCGCATTCCAGGCATATTCCGAACCTGAACATCGACCGAGTGCGTTGACAAGGGCGTGGGTGATCAGGTTAGTTTTCGCCAAGATCGACCGAAGTCGACGGCATCAACAGGGCGATGGTCGGAGGCATGAGCTCAGGACAAAGAAAAAAATCAAAGGAAAAAAGGTGCAGCATGCATATAGTACAAGAATAGAGTCCTATACCGTGTCCGTGATTGATTTAGAGGTTAGTCGCTGAACGTACTGGTAGGAATACTCGGTGACCGAAACGTGAGACGATAGTCACGTGAGTACCTTGTGACACTGAGATCTCAACCGAAGTCAAGGGCGGCGTAGTCTCCTGATTTAGACGTGAGACAGAAGTCTCGTCCGTAGACGATGCAGAAGATGCGTGCTGTTGACTGGGACGTGAGAATGACGTTTTGGGTGTATCTAGCGTGGTAACTGATGTGAATGTAGAGATCCCGCCAGATGGTTTGGTAGGTCTAGCATTGTGCCTCGACTTATCATGTAGGGCACTGTCGTCGATGTGTGCTGGCTTAAGACGATCAATGCTGATTATCTCGACGCAGCCGTGTTCATCAAACTTGAAGGTCTTTTCGTGATAGTAAATCAGGTGAAAAGGTCTTTCGTAAGGCTGTTACGAAGGTTTGTGTACCGAATCTACTCGTATGATAACTCTCTCGAGAGAGAGCGACCTGTCGATGTTGTGTACGGGTCGATACCGGAGGCAATCGTTGGACGTAGTCTTATTTACCAAAATCGTTACTGCTCTGTGGTGTGAGAAATTCCCCATGAAGACGCACTGTTTTGCCGTATACAAGTTCAGCGGCGGAACACTGAATATCTGCTTCGAACACGTTCTATTCCTTTGATTTCTCAGAAGTTTTTGATAGGGTCAACCATACATTTCTTATCAATCAGCTGAGACGATTGGGTATAAAACCACCTCTAATTGACTGACTCGCTTCATATGTAAAAAACCGAAATTTTACGGTCAGGGTTAACTTCGCTTTCTCTCAGACTATGGAATGTCCTAGTGGGTTCTCCCTGGGTTCAGTACTAGGACCTCTCGTGTTCTTGATTTATATAAACGATCCTCCACAACAAGTTTCATCTGATTGCTTTCTGCGAAATTTGTGGAACTTTGGAGAGAGATAGGCACCCAAGAGGATATACTGACACTTCAGGAGGATCTGACTCGACTTCAAAGTTGGGCAGACAACAACGGACAACACTTCAACACTTCAAAGTGTAAAGTAGTCCATCTGCGACTGGTTGCAGACTATAGTTACAACTTAGGAAACTCCTCTCTAGAAGTATCCCAAATCGAAAAAAAGATTTACGAGTGTTGGTACCCTATGACTTGAAGTCGTACGCTAAATGTGACAAAACCGCATTTCAAGCAAACCTTTCGCTGGTAACATTGAAGCGCTTTTTGGGCCAGTTTGACAGTAGAACTTTCCACATAATCTTCAACAGTCGTATTCGTCCCCATTTAGAGTACGTAAGCATAGTTTTTCCTCCCTCCATCCAAAAGGACAAAGACACTCTGGAACATATCCAACGTCGAGCCAAGAAATCAGTTAGAGGACTCAAATTCAATTGATGCATCATCACTCCTGGTACAGAGAAAGCGACTTCAGATGCCGAAAAATCCGTTTACACGGATATATAGTTACTACCACAAAGAACTTATAGTAAACAGTTCCTGTCACGTCTCCGCAATTTGTTGTATTCCGATCCATATTTTCTGTCGTAAAGAATACTACTAAGACAAGTGTTAGAGAAACTACAGTCTTATCTACTTGTTGATGATTATTACGTAATAATTAGCTTCGTTGAGTCTGCACATACTGTTTGCATAGTCTGGGTGGTGAAATCGTTGCTATAATGAGTGTGAGTGTTGTCTATCTTCCATCAACTGCAGTGTCTAATAA